TCAGGTTTTTATGCACTCAAAATTCTCCTTATCATTAAATGTCTAGAAATGTGTACAGTATGTGAGTTAGAATTCAAGAAACACGTTAAACTTGTACAAGAAATCAGAAATGAATTGACAAAAATCTGGTTATAAATGGGATGTTTGCTCATTTAAGAAACGTTTTGAAGGGTTTAAAGATGTCTCAACGTGTTTTCATTATTATCTGATACATTTCTTTTACAATTAACATGTTTGAGAACTTCATGATTTATCAAATAGACATGCAATGAAACTAAAATATCTCAGATTTATTTATTTTAAATTATGGTAAACTCAGTTTTTCTTATTTAGCATCTAAATCATCTACATCAAATGCAATTTTTTTTATACATTTACATTCATGCATTCTAAGAATCAAAATGAAATACTTTTGTGGAAAACCAGTTTAAAAAAAACTAACGCAAAACGAGGCAGTGTCTTTTTGCCTATTCAAATGTGTTTGTTTTGGAAATTTGCATGAACTAGAATCTATTCTTTATTTCTAAGGGTAATGACTGCATATATATATATATATATACACATGTGCATATAAATATTGTATATGTAGCGAGTGGCAAGTTTGTACAGCTATTTTCTACTTTAATAGAGCTGTTAATGACATAGCCTGAAGACAGAGATAGGAGAGACGGTGTTTAATCATTGGCAACCTCACATACACACCTGAGGCGATGACGTCTTTATTAGCTGAAAGTATCTCTCATCTTTAAAAGGGTGCACGCTGATTGAGACACACTTAGATACACAGACCATTTAAAACAGTGCGGGGCTGTGTCGCTAAATCAGGAGGCACGTAGCGAGACACAAAGTGCTGGTGTCTGTTGACTTTGTTGCAGCTTAAGTCAATCACGAGTGGCAGAGCGTCTCCTGTCAGCTCGCCCTCTGTGTGCACAGAGTGGACGGACCAACCAGCAGGAGACTTGGGCGACTTTGTTCTGTCAATTTTGTTTTTACAGTCACTGGTTTGACGGCATTTCATGTTGTTGTTGTTGTTTTTGTTTCTTTTCTAATCTGTGTTATTTCTGACTGTAGTGCCTGCACTTCCTCCCACATTGGGGCTTAAATTAAACTCAGGTTAATATCTGTACACCCCAGAGCCTGTCAGTGAACGAGTGGATAAAAAAGACACAGTGGAGAGAGAGAGAGAGACAGAGAGAGAGAGACAGAGAGACAGAGAGAGAGAGACAGAGAGACAGAGAGAGAGAGGGAGAGACAGAGAGAGAGAGATCTTTGTACATCCTGGTTTTACCAGTGGAACCAGTCTTGACTAAGCAGATTCGAGAGGATTGAGTAGAAGGAGGACAAAGAACGTTATAGCACGTTGGGTTTTCTCTCTCTTCCTCTCTTTCTCCCCTTCTTTGCATGTTTGTCGTTAACAGATGTATTTCAGCAGCACAGAGGTGCTGAAACATCGTTCATTTCCACATACAAAAACACAAGTTCACTACACAGTTCCTGATGCTCTCTGTAACGATACCTGAATACCACTGGAAAACAGGTGATTTCTTCATTTAGTCAATTCTGTTTAGTCAATGGAATTACCATGGATACCTGCCTCTATATGGACATTCCTGAAGCTCATCTTTTTAGAGCACCTTTACTGATGATTAGAATAGAAGGTGAAGATGAGGTCTACATCCAGCAAACAAGACATCCATGTCATGAGAAGCTAAAGAATACACAGCAATGGTCATGGCACTCCAAAATTAACATAATCAGAGTTCTTTTCATTAGCAAACATGTACTTGTTAGTTGAACACAGTTGAAATGGTTAGTTTATTGTTTTTTTGGTCTTTCGTGGCTGCTGGTAGGTACTGTAAGAAGATGTCTCTGGGATTTGAACTTTTTTACATACCAGAAGGCTGAGTTGTAGCATCACATTTCATTAGTTACATTGAAAACACAAGCAGCCATTGTAGACAGGAAAGTTTAGGCCCTAAAAATAGGTTTCTGGTGCTTAACTCAACCTTTGTGTTGTTGATCTTTTCCATGTCACTTTTGTGCTCTGGAAAGACACATAGAACAGCCAAATAGAACAACAACAATCTGCGTTGAATGCGTTGAATGTTATTAAAAATGTCTTTGTCCAAAACCTCTGAGCATCACTTTTGTGTGTTTGTGTTTGTTGTACAACTTTCCTGTAGGTTGCCTTGATTCAAGTACAGCATGTGAATGTGTGTGTGCTTTGTGTATTTTCCTCCCCGGCTCTTTTTGCCCTGGGAAACTCTACAATTTCAAGTGGAACCAAAACAAAATCACGACCACAGGATGGAGATTTGTTTTTCTTCTCAGACTACTACATGTAGATGTAATGAACTGTAACAAAATACCACTTTTTTAAGGGGAGCAAAGCATTACAGACTCGTATTACAAGGACAGACCCAGGAGAGTACATGTGGTTGCGGACGTCTGAGGACTAACCCCACTGCACAGAGGCCAGGTCTCATTGTCCACACTGTGTTATTATCACTTATTATACACACAAGTAGGCATGAGAGTTAGAGTCAACTCATGAGATAGACTTCTTAGGTAAATGTAAGTTCAGCCCATTTCCCATGGACAGCAAATATAGTAGATACATCTAATGCTAGGCCTAGAGGCCAATCATGGCACTGCGGCTTCTTACATAAAATTAACTTATTTGGTCTGCCACAGGGGAAGTACGCCATATGTTTTAACACAGTCTTTTAAAGCTTCTAAATATTGGACAATTTCCATGGGATTTAATAGGTTTTGTCTGGGAATTCATAATGAATGCATTCATTGTGTTAATGATGTACACTGTATACCCAATCATTCTTCTGAATACTCACTAACTATTGTTCTAATACACAGTAGATACAGGACATGTTGTTATTTGCACACACAAATCAACTTAAATCCTAATTTAGCATGCGTTCGTAGTTGGCTTCAATTAAAGGCTATTCCTTTTTAATATTTACAATGACTTTCACTTGTAGTTAAAAAAAACCAAACATTTCAGGGCTTTTTGTTCTTGGTTTCTTCTCTTGTTATATTTGTTTCACGGTTAACTTTTCCAAGACTGACATTTGTTTTCAGTGAAGTCTGTTGCTGTTTTTGTAATTTGCACAAAAACTTATCATATTGTTGTTTTAATTATCTGAATACTGTTCGTTAGATACTTCTGCCTTATCGGAAGCTAACGGGTTGTTACAACATATTTGTTTTTGCTGTATTTTTTGCTGAAGTTGGACCTTTAGGTTGCAGCAGTCTTATGACACATGAGACATCCATTCATTTTTTTTACCCTAGATTATGCCTGATTGGCAAAGACTCTGGGGTAAAAGGACAGGCCAGTGTAGGAGTACATGAAAACTTTTGTTCTCAACAGTTGGGGGGTAGTGGGATGTTTCAAGAAAAGACAATAGTTCTTACTTAACTTGTCGTATAATTTTTGTAACTTTCTCACACAAATACACGCTCTTACAGTACTTATATTATGACTAAAATATTGTATTTTTCTCTGTAATGCCTAACAAAGGTCAGTGTTTTGAATTCATCTTCCTTTCCAGCCATTTCATTTACATCTTTTTCTTTCACTTTATCAATGACTGGAAACTGGAGGCGACTTCACCCTTGTGTGTGTGTGTGTGTGCGTGTGTGTGTGTGTGTGTGTGTGTGTGCATGCTAGGAAACAAAAGGCCATGTGTAGGTAAATGTTGGACCACTGTGTGTTTTGAAAGTCACTGGTGTTCCCGGCAGTGTGTGAGTGTCTGTATGTGTACTATAGCACTCGTTGTTTCCTTGTATAAGCATGTTCTCCCCTCTTGTCTTCACAATAATAGCCTTGTTATTCTTTGCTGTCATTACCAAGAATGTGTGTGTGCACGTCTGACTCTTTGTGTGTGTGTGTATTTACCAAGGGACTTCTGTTATCCCAGTCATTCACCGTATTTAGATAGTCTGCAATTTATGTCTCCTAATATGGAGGAAGACCGACACTATATATCGGCGTGCACAGACAGACACAGATTACTAATATATACTACTGTCCTGCATGACAGTTATGTGACTTTTAGTTAAAAGATGGGGAAGTGACACATGAACTCTTTTCATTTTTTTTAAATTAGTATCGATACTTTATGAGCATAATTGCTGCTTTTGGGAAAATGCAATTGCAAATGTGTGTTTGTCTGTCTCAGAGACAGAAACCACCTCCAGCCATTTCCCAAACGGTGCCCTTCCTGGATCCTGTTTAGAGCCAGATGAGGCAATCTTTCCCATTGACTCAGCCCTGCAATACAAATAGCCTAAAAAACATGCACAGGGCATGGACATGTTCAGATGTATGTGTAACACAGACACACTGTGTTAGATTGAGTAATAATGGTAGTGCATGGGAAACAATAAATCATACCGCATCAAAAAAGTTGTTTTTTTAACCTGAAACAGTTTGTTGTTTATACTGAACGTGGAGCCTGTGGTCTCTTAATTTGTTAGTGCTGATTAGATTTGACCAAAGTCTGGTCCTAGGGTAAAACGTGTCTCTCAAACAGTCACTGATTCCTCCTGATTATGAACAGACAGAACCTATAAATCATAAAAGGATCAGAGTTTCACAGGGATGGCTCAAAACGTCTGGAGACATGCCGAATTTTAAAAAAGTTGCTATATTATAATGTATAATTTGATGAATTTAAATTAAACAAATCTTCAAAGGGTCACAGTTTGAACAACAACAGTACTTAGAAACTATAGCACTATGTAAATAGTTATGGTTCAGTAATGTCGCAGTTAATTTTGCAAATAAATTACATATTACATGTATCTTATATGAAAGGATATGTTGTTCTTATGTGACTGGGATTTTCTTTTCCCAGTTTATTATCAGTTTTATAATTATTATTACTGTTATGTTTCGTGTAATTATATGTAATTATACTATATATGTTTATCCTCAGCCATTAACTTACCATCTTTTTTTACCACTCTTTCTACAGATTCCTCAGTTGCTGTGCACACATCGTGTGCGTCCTTTCCCATGGACCTGAGGGTGGGAGAGCGGGGGATGCGCCCAGGTTCAGACACGGCGCTCTTCGCCCCGCTGCACCCACCTTTACTCCTCACCCAGTTCTCCTCTCAGCCCTGCGCTCCGTTCTCCCAGCAGCACCTGCACCAACAAATCAGGGTACAAAAAAAACCTTATGTTTTCTGCATTTGATAATAATACATTTTTACAAGCCAGTTTTAATTTTCTTACGTTGCTTTACACAATTGTTACACAACCCTATAGTATAACGTGGAGCAGAGGAGGCGAGAGCAGGAACATCATGAGAAGCAGCAAGAGTTGCAGCAGCTCAAGCACAAAGACAAGAGCCAACAAAGTAAGTTTACACACACACCCACACACACACACACACACACACACAAATAACCTATTTTCACTTACCTCCCTTAATGTCTCACTTCTCCTGTCAGTAAACTTTGTTTCTCTGTATTAAAGATATTTTAGAGCTACTTCTGCATATTTGATTGTGTGTAAAGAGTCCTTATCTGTACAGCACATTGTTACTCAGCCTTTACAACTGTTTGCATTCACACAGCAGCTAATTATAACTCAACAGATGAAGTTAAATATAGCTTTACCGTAGGTCTGGGTACATGAAGTCACTGGGCCAATATTGACTTCCTATCACCACTGTGTGTTCACATTAACACACATGTGCGCACATTTACAGAGAAATAAAGTACAGTTGTATCCTGGTTGCAGATTTTCTACGACACATCCACAATAATTTAACGCTATTATTTAAATATAAATATTATCTAATATTTAAATTACTAGATAAAAAAACAGACAGAGTAAAAGAGGATGTGACATTGTGGAGGTCTGGCAGTTCATACCCTATGTTAACTAGTAGTAGGTGTGGGGTTTAAAAGAATAAAAGGAGCATACTGTACTGTACTTACTGTAATGTGAACTCCTTCCATGTTTTTTTATGTGCTTGTTTGTTACACTTCACCACAGGTGCAGTGGCCAGTTCCTTGGTGAAACAGAAATTGCAGGAGGTGATTCTTAAAAAGCGGAAACAGGCGGCGCAACAAGGAACAAACGTCAGCGCACTGACTCCGGCTCCTGTAGTATACAGGTGAAAGAAGGCACAATAAAATGTCACAGAGTTATACTTCATACATGGAATTGTACTGTTATCATTACAAAAAAATCAACAACAACTTCTGTCTATTTATTTTCCCTCAGAAACTTTGGTCCAGAACAGGGTCTGTCCTCACAACCTCTGGTTACATCTCCATCACAGTCTTCTCCTGATGGTCCTGAAGGGACGCCTCTACGTAGAGCTAGTAAGTCAATCGCACGACATCAACTTCATTGACACAGGTGCACATAAGAATGGACAACTGCACAAATAAACAACACGAACCAACAGAAAAATTAAGGGTTAAAACAATGCTCTCATGTGATTTTTGTTGTATTAAATGTGACAGGCAAAAAGTGGGAATTTAAAGTCCTGATCTTTTTATTTTTAAATTTTTTAAAATTTTTAAATTTTTAAAAATTTTAAATACATTTTAATTTTTTTTAATTTAGGCATTTATAAATACTTATAAATGCCTTCTGTTCACTTGAGTTTATATATATATATTATTTTTTTACATTTCATTTTAAAATCTATAGTAAATCCATAATAATCATCAGAACAACAAATGTTAAGTTATATTCTTCGTTGTGTTCCATTTGTCAGCGTCTGAGCCTAATCTGAAGGTGAAACATAGGCTGAAGAAACACCTCAAGACACGCAAGAGTCCGCTCACCCGAAAAGAGAGTGCTCCGCCCACTGTCAGACACAGAGTGCCTGACACACTAGGTAACTTCCTGCATGGATGAAAGTGTATTGTTGCTTAAATATGTCCTTTAGAAATTAACATGATTGATTCTGTCTCTCTTTTTGCTTCTCCAGACTCATCTCCTAGCAGCAGCAGCACTCCAGTGTCTGGCTGTAGTTCACCAAATGACAGTTTACCCAATGAAAATGGACTGCTGCCCTCTGCAGGCGGCCTCTCACATGAGGTAATGTGGTCTTAAAGCTAACTGACTAATGCAATCAATAGATTAACGGTGTGTTTTTTGACACAAAATTACAATAAATCCCCCAAAACCATACAATAACATTAACAGGGGGAAAAAATGAACATTGTTAAACACCATGCTTGTTTTCTGCCTGTGAGAAAATGTTGGTTCACCTCAGAAATGAATTTGCTGTTTAATGTACATGAGCTGCACCTCCAGTAATGAAATGTTTAAAGCAATGATACGAGAGTGAAGGGGCAATATGTCTGTGTCAGCTGTTTATGCATAGTTCATGTAATAACAGAGTCAGAACGCAGCGGCTCCAGTCACACCTGCCTTGAATGTCTGATTCATGTTCCCCAAGACTGTTCAGAACAGTACCTGAACTAAAACATTAGTTGAGGTTTAATTAAGCTAACCTGGTTTGGTTTGTGTACACGCAATGATATAACATTAAAACTACCTGGCAAGAAAAATACAGAGTCTAAAATATCAAATTCACATGTGAAAACCATTATTCAAGAAGCTTGCCTACAAGCATTAGCATCAGTTAGCAAAAAGCTAACTAGCAGTTAGTAAGATCCATATATTTAATTTATTTCCTTAATTCTTGTTTTCAACACTGCCTTCATAGCCATGGGTTACTTGAACTAGCTAGCGCTAATTGTTTTTTTGTTTTTTTTCTTATAGTACAATTGTTAAACAACTAAAACATCAAACATGTAAAACAAAATGTGAGGTTAAATTTGTTGCTTAGTGCTGACGAACTTGGTAACTGCTAACAAGTTACCCCCAGAAAAGGTGTTGTACAGTACTAATAGGCTAACTGGCTTCTATCCTTACTTAATATGAGTTAGTTAATAGGTTTATACTCCTTTATACTCCTTTCGTACTTGAATGCTAGGACATGCACTGTCTTCCATACACATGGTCAAAAGACCGCAGCTCAACTGTATGGTGTTTTTGATTAATGAGGGAGTACGGCTCTTTAGATAAGGCATGGGGGTAATTACTTTTGAAAAGAAACTATTTTTTTCCCATTCCCAGGCCCAGAAGCTGCTGCTCAGAGATGGCACTCTGGCTAACTTCACCATCCCCAGCCCTTCTACTCTGCCCACCATCACACTGGGACTGCCAGCCAACGCCCGGGTAAATACCAAACTGTAACAAAGTCAGAAATGTTCAAAGTCGTTTTATTTATTTATTTATTTTTTTACGAATAGTCAGCTGAGGAGCCTGCTGTTTTTCTAAACCTATTGCATAATCAAACTAAGACCTGTTGGGTTTCCCCTATTTTTCTTTTTGTGCAAAACCTGAACAAAGCCTTGCTGTTGTGGCAAACGTCAGATAGCATATTTATAGCTGTGTGACATTTTTCTTGCAGGCTGAAGAGGAGTTGTCTTCCCTGAAGGTCAGTCGTGTGCCTGTGGTCACAGCAGGGGGCTCCCCAGTCTTCCTCCCCCTGAGCAGAGAGGAACAGGCCGGACACCCTCACCTCCCTGTCATCATCCTGGAGCCTTCTGGCCTGGTGCACACTCCACTGCTCACTGGTGAGGAAGTAAACCTCACCACAAATACACAAACACAGGCACGAACGGTGCACAGAGTTTACGCACTCTAATAGCTAAAGCAGCACTGATTATCAGTGTAGCAACACAGAGAACCACTGATAAGGACATTCTATTTTTACCAACACCCTCTGTTACTGATTTACATCTCAGGATGAAAAAGGTGTCATGAGCAGATGAACAGTAATAGCCACAAATGCAAACATATATATATATATATATATATGTATAGCCACGAATGCAAACATATATATATATATATATATATGTATAGCCACGAATGCAAACATATATATATATATATATATATGTATAGCCACGAATGCAAACATATATATATATATATATATATGTATAGCCACGAATGCAAACATATATATATATATATATATATATATATGTTTGCATTCGTGGCTATACATATATATATATATATATATATGTATAGCCACGAATGCAAACATATATATATATATATATATATATATGTTTGCATTCGTGGCTATACATATATATATATATATATATATGTATAGCCACGAATGCAAACATATATATATATATATATATATATGTATAGCCACGAATGCAAACATATATATATATATATATATATGTATAGCCACGAATGCAAACATATATATATATATATATATATGTTTGCATTCGTGGCTATACATATATATATATATATATATATGTATAGCCACGAATGCAAACATATATATATATATATATATATATGTTTGCATTCGTGGCTATACATATATATATATATATATATATGTATAGCCACGAATGCAAACATATATATATATATATATATATATATGTTTGCATTCGTGGCTATACATATATATATATATATATATATATATGTTTGCATTCGTGGCTATACATATATATATATATATATATATGTTTGCATTCGTGGCTATACATATATATATATATATATATATGTATAGCCACGAATGCAAACATATATATATATATATATATATATGTTTGCATTCGTGGCTATACATATATATATATATATATATATGTATAGCCACGAATGCAAACATATATATATATATATATATATATGTTTGCATTCGTGGCTATACATATATATATATATATATATATGTATAGCCACGAATGCAAACATATATATATATATATATATATATATGTTTGCATTCGTGGCTATACATATATATATATATATATATATATGTTTGCATTCGTGGCTATACATATATATATATATATATATATGTTTGCATTCGTGGCTATACATATATATATATATATATATATGTTTGCATTCGTGGCTATACATATATATATATATATATATATATATGTTTGCATTCGTGGCTATACATATATATATATATATATATATGTATAGCCACGAATGCAAACATATATATATATATATATATATGTTTGCATTCGTGGCTATACATATATATATATATATATATATATGTTTGCATTCGTGGCTATACATATATATATATATATATATATATGTATAGCCACGAATGCAAACATATATATATATATATATATATGTTTGCATTCGTGGCTATACATATATATATATATATATATATGTTTGCATTCGTGGCTATACATATATATATATATATATATATATGTATAGCCACGAATGCAAACATATATATATATATATATATATATGTATAGCCACGAATGCAAACATATATATATATATATATATATCAGACACCTCACCTGGCCTGCTGTGTTCTCTTAGAGAGCCTTTAATATATTTTTTGATGTTGTACTACCACCTAGTGGTTACGTGTAGAACAACACGTATCTAACAATGTATCCAGGTTCTTCAGACCACCGCAGCTGGTTTTCAACACACCGGTACATATCAATGCTGACATTTATTTATTATCCCAGAGAGTACTATTTATCTGCTGCCTTTTGCCCCCAGTGCCTGGATTAGACCCCGTCCCACTGCAGTTTGCCTCCCAGTTAGAGCACCTGTCTCCCGGAGGCTCTCATCCTCACAAGCCCCTGAGCAGGACACGATCAGAACCACTTCCCCAGAGCACGAGGACGCTTCACACGCAGCTACTTCAACAGCAACACAACACGCAACTACTGGAGAGGCTCAAACAGCAGACTCACCTGGGCAAGGTAGGCATGATGTCACTGATCTGATGGGATTTTAGACCAACCTGTGCAGAAGGTGGAAAAAACCCACAACACTCTTTAATAACCAGACTTATGTGAGGCCCAAGGACAGGATTACTCCAGTAACCACATCAGTGATGATCTCAAAGTACTTTTACTTAGCTTTACACACTTAAATTCTGTCTTAAAAGTGGGGAAAAAAGTTGTCCAGCACTATTGGACTGTTCATTTTGATCTTTTTATGTAGATTAATTTAAGTATTTCATGTGCACAGCTCATGTCCAAGTCCAGTGAGAAGCCCAGACTGCACCAGATCCCCTCTGAGGACATGGACTCTGAGGACAGCGGAGCTGTGTCGCCCACTGAGCCCACCTATCAGAGCAGAGCCAGGGCAGAGTCACTAAGGGAGGCGGAGCCAGGAGCAACCAATAGCCATGAAGAGCAACTGAACCTGCAGCATGCGCTCATACTGAACCAGGTTGGAAAAATAATTGTAATTACGAACATAATAGAAATAAAAAATCCAACTGGCCAGTAGATGGCGCCCTACACCTGCCATTGCATGGTTCTATCTCAAAGCTGCATTGTTCTTTGTTCTGTATATCAATTTTCCACTGCTGACATTTCGGTCGTTTTACTTTTTAAATTTTTTTATTCTAATCATTTGGCTTTGTGTCTTTAATTTCCTTCTGCAGTCATTACTGTGGGAGCAGCAGAAGCAGCTGCAGCAGCTGCACAGACAGATGGAGACACTGGCAGTGCCCATGCTGCGCGTCGGTGGAGGAGTGGTGGGCGGGTTAGGTATTCATCGCCCCCTGTCAAGGACACAGTCATCCCCGGCCTCGACGTCACTCACTCTGCCTGAAAAGACCCTCAGCCTGTCGCCTCAGGACAGCAGCAGCAAATCACGCTTCACCACAGGTGAGCAAGGGAGACACACGTGCATAAAGTTAGGACTGGTTCCTGGAAAAAATGATAAATCTTTCATTTAAGTTAAATTAGTAACAACCAGTGTGAATAAGTAACAAAAAATACATTACCATGGTCATAGTGGTGAAGTTTATATTAAAGATTAATATAAAAAAATTCAAATTGCCAGCTGAGAGGAACTTTTTCTCACATTGTACTTCCTTGACAGGATTAAAAAATAAAAGTTAATAGGTTACTAATTCATGTCATGAATAAATCCCTGTCATAACTCATTTGGGTGTGTGTATGTGTGTGTGTGTGTGTGTGTGTTCAGGTCTGGTATACGACTCTCAAATGCTGAAGCACCAGTGCACATGTGGAGACAACAGCAGTCACCCAGAGCATGCTGGGAGAATCCAGAGCATCTGGTCACGACTGCAGGAGAGAGGCCTGCGGGGACAGTGTGAGGTAGATAAAGTGATTTTTATTTAAATCTGGTGAATTTCACAAAGAATTTATTTTTATGTGATCATTTTTTAATTCCCCTCAGTTTACAGCTTATCTATTATACAAATTAAATAATTACTATTTTGTATAACCCTTTTCAAATTTAATTTTTACAGGTTAATAATAAATTGTAAAATCAACTTTCATGCTCTGGGTAACCACACAGATGTGTGATTTTCTTTTTGTGCTGCTATTGCTCATCTATCAAGACTCATCTATCGTGTGTGTGTGTGTGTGTGTGTGTGTGTGTGTGTAAACAGAGTATTCGTGGCCGTAAAGCCACATTGGAGGAGCTGCAGTCGGTCCACACAGAGCGGCACGTGTTGCTCTACGGCACTAACCCACTCAACAGACTCAAGCTGGATAATCGCAAACTGGCCGGTACGTTAACCACAAATGGGATCTTAAACAAGTTTAATCTCTGAAATTGTATCCTTGAAAGACAGTGAATGTATATGTTCTTGGTATTATATTGATAAAACACATAACAACGGTGTTTTCTTTTTTTCAGGAATTCTGTCTCAGAGGATGTTTGTGATGTTGCCATGTGGAGGTGTAGGGGTAAGAAAAACATTATCGAGACAAAAATACTGTCAAAACATCCACACTGTTTGGGCATAACTTGGTAGTTGGGTAGATTTTTCCCTGGCTTGTCAGTGCACCAAGGTCACTGCAGTGATGGAAAATGACATTGATTCAAAAGAAAAATGAGGATAAAAAGGAAGGCAGGATATGACAGAGAGAAAAAGCCCTGGCTCAGCCCCACTCTGGAGTTTGCCTGACAGCCCATGTCAAACCATGACGAGTCAGACTAATGTGAACAATATGTCCATGACCAAGGATAAAAGAAATGCCTCAGATTTCTTCGTCAGAGCCAGAGGGATAGTAACGCCTGTTGTGGAAAATGGAAAAAAGGGGGAAAAAAAGAAACAGAAACAAAAGGAGAATTAATAAAACAATCCCCTGATCTGTAAACATTGGTAGATGAATCATTTCAACTCCTGCCTCACAGCTGTTGTCATTAAATGCGTCGTCGTTTCAACAAAATAAAACTCTTTTTAGCTCAAAATAAGGAAACTAGTCACAGGATTTACCGCAACTGCAACTGTAAGAGTCAGAACACTTGGTTTTGGTTTGATTTTTAACCAAAAAAATAATTTCAAGCTGTTGGATGAATGTAGAAAGAAGTGATTGATTTGCTCCATGTTTTGTCTGTCAGGTTGACAATGACACAATCTGGAACGAGTCCCACACCTCGACAGCCTCACGGATGGCAGCAGGCAGCGTTGTTGAACTGGCCCACAGAGTGGCCAAAGGAGAGCTGAAGGTGAGAAACTCAAACACAAGTGTCCAAAAAATGTCCACCTGAAAACATTTCTATATCTTTCATAATATTTCTCTATCACATAAACAGTTATACCCCCTTCATCCTCTGCTAGTTCTTCTCCTCCTTACTGTGATTCAAAGTCTGGGATACACATACAGGAAAACTAAACTCAAAAATACCACAAACTGAGCGTACTTAGAGTTGGTCGTCTTTATTCCAAACATTTCTGTATACATTGTATATACTTATTGACATATAACGCAATACACACCAGAAATGACCCAAGGTCATGTAGAGAAAGAGATGAAGACATGAAGTATACATACCTCGGTTTGTAGTATCTGTAGTACCTTTGTAGTATCTCGTGTACAGTAAACAGTCTTTGTGCAGCTCCTCATACACAGTAAAACACTGATCACTAGAGTCTAGAGTCACTGCTGTCTTCTTCTGCACAGAACGGTTTTGCTGTGGTCAGACCGCCAGGACATCACGCAGATCCCTCCAATCCAATGTAAGTGAATGAAATTAGAATAAATGAAATCCATAAAGAGTCACAGAGAAGTTTGTTTCATACACCATTTCAGGTACCACACAAGTTTAACTGAAACAATGAATAGAAGACAGCCGTGAGGCACATGTGAAATTCAAACTGTTGAACTCAGGAATCCTACTGTACAGCTCACTCACTGACTTTAACGCAACCTGTGTCGGTCTCTCCAGGGGTTTCTGTTACTTCAATTCAGTAGCAATAGCTGCCAAGCAGCTTCAGCTCAAGCTCAGCGTCAGCAAGATCCTCATAGTTGACTGGGTAAGACGGCACGTGTTGTCCAACGGTGTGAATGTATTTTTATGTCAGTTTTACGTCACTTTATTTTCCCAACGTTCACAACGTTCACAGTGTAAAATGTTCTCCTTGTTGTTGATGGTAGGATGTTCACCATGGTAACGGCACCCAGGAAGTCTTCTACAGTGACCAAAGTGTTCTCTACATCTCACTTCATCGCTATGACGATGGGAACTTCTTCCCTGGCAGTGGGTCACCTGCTGAGGTGGGGGACGTCTCTGAGTTTTAAGTATATTTTTAAAACTTTGAACCTCAAATACTCAATCCATTTTCACATGTTTTCGTTGTAGGTCGGTTCTGGAGCAGGGGAGGGCTTCAATGTCAACGTCGCATGGACCGGAGGACTGGACCCACCCATGGGAGATGCGGAGTACCTTGCTGCATTCAGGTACAAATAATGGCTGTGTTCACTGACTGCTGCTGAAAACAGTGTTAATGAAGGGAAATATCAGACTAAAAGGGTTTGAGTGATTTAGTGACAACTTTCTCTGGTAGTTTCTTCAGAGTGTGAAGCAGCTGCTGTTTCATTTATTCTAAGGACACCAATAGAATAAATGAAATGAATTTTCCCGAGTTAGAATGTAGCAGTTACCATCTTCTTTCAGGGCATGATTCACTTTGTGTCAGCAGCATAAAGAGTCACAAGTGAATGTTTTTACAGTATGTCCTTCAAACCAGGTTTTTCACGTGGACGACCCACAGTTTTCTTGGACCTCATTTTATTTATAAAGCTTGAATATCTTTGGTCTGGGGACATAACCTTTTAAAGGACTTTTAAAAGACAGATTTTCCACAACCACATGGTTTATTTACTTTTGCACAGTCCAAAACAACACACATTTGTTTCAGTGGTCTTTTCAGTTTTAAAATTAGAATTAGAATTAAGGCAAAGAGGACCTTTATTATAAATGTAAAAAAAAAGAAAAAAAAAACATGGAAAAAAATTGGGGACTATATACAAGGTTGAAACAAATTATGGTTTCCAATTGTATTATTAATTAAAATAATACAATTGTTTATGGTTATTAATTAGCTTTACTTGAGGCATGAGATAAAAATAATTCATACAGACTGATAAAGAATAAGAAATTTAAAAGCACAGAAGAAAGTCTTCCTACGGGAAAAATAGAATGAAAGGTTGAGTGTTTGGTTCATAAAAATATATTTTATATGCATGATTTATGAGCTGCTAATGTTCGTGATAAACTTTCTCACGACTTCAGTTCCCAAAGTGACACATATGTCACTTTCAGTGTGACTGGGACACAAATTCTCATCAGGATGAAGGGATAATGAGACAAACGACACCAGAGATGATGTGAAATAGATGACAGATGTGAAATCTGTCTGATTAGCCAACGGGAGAAGAAAAAAAAAATCGTACTTTAATTTTGCCACCAGTCTTCCACAGTTTTATTGACGGTGATTAGGCCACTGAATGGAGCCCAGATGGGATGCACACCTCTCACTTCCCCTGCACCGAGCCACAACAAACACACACACGCTCATCAGGAGCTCGGCCTTCACATCCCCTCTGACGCGCTTCTTGCGTAACTACGTCTCTGTCATTTGGAGAGCATGTGCCCGCCGTTGGCTGTTTCCAGTAAGCTTAGATGTTTTACAGCAAATGGCGTCTCGGCCTTGTTGCTCTACCGTCTGCAGTCTGATACTTCCTGCTTGTGGCTTGGCTAATTGTTGTCGGTGGGTGTTAGGCACCAGGAAACTTTCAGAAGAGTATATTTTTGGGGTTTTTTTTTTTTTTTTTTTTTGCTGCAGCAAAAACCCTCAAGGCAACGGGGGCGACCGAAAGGGTTCGTG